CATGAATATAAAATAAAACAGTAAAAATAAGACGTAAAATCCATGCGGAAACCTGATGTCCGATCAGAAAGGGCATGCGCAGCTGTTCAGTTAGGTTCGGTGAGGTAGACACTTCCAGCCCACCATTATTAGCATCTCGCGCTTACGACTGCACTGATCTCCGTCTTTATGTTACCATCAGACAAGAATGTCTTTTAAAGGCAAGGTCTGCTGCTATGTAACAATTATAAATCGTAACCTCCTGCTCCTTTCCCGCAAAGTGGTATTACTTTATCTACCTCAAAAAGAAGAACGGCGAGTAACGGAGCTGGGCTATCACTCACGGTCTGACGACAGAGTCCGTCACTACCGACTGACCAACCGATGCCTACGGTCGTTTAATAGCGGTACACTTACATCGCATGCGTACTGTTCAGCGGGAGTATTAGCGAATGTAAACCCTTCCACCGTCAGAACGCTGCTCGGGCCGATCACAGTCTGCTGCAGCCAGCGTGCCAGATTGCACAGCGCAATGATTAAGTCGTTTAGCGACAATTCTTTGTCACTGGGTAGGCGACAACTTTCTCCATGGGAACAATATGCAGTTGCGATTGTTTCTAACGCCCTGAAAACACTCATACTTAAACAGCTTTCCGGCATGATCACAAATCGCATCAACAGAGAGGTCAGCAGAATTTAATCAACAAGGGCAAATAGCCTGTTATCACCCTTGGCTTTGATTTTATCTGTCCCTAAGCTATGAATACTGAATGCAAATCGCATAACACATTCTCAATAGGCCAAACTGAAACGAACCGGTTTTCACCGCGCGATGGTATCTATCCGTCACTCCTAATCGACCGTGGGACATTTAATCTGAGCATGAATCCACTGTATTGCAGCACTCGCAGCAGATCGATACACAGCATGCCGAATACAGTATAGTATAGAAAACAATGAGTTCGTCCGCTGACTGGTCAGCGCATATTCCCTCATACTCCCGCATAAGAACATACTAGCGGCAGGCTTAAATCATGAATTTTTCAAAAGATACTTTTTCTTTAATTCCGTAGTTGCCCGTTCCAAGTGCCGATTAGGAACGTTGCGGACCGTGGTGAGGCTCCCGTAAAACAGCCACCTGCCCCTGATGTTACTGCCGTTATCTAACGTCATTCCGATTCGGTCGTCGCGTTAATTACCAAGGGCCTCCGGGCTGTTCGTATCTGACGCAGACTGCTATCAGAACCTGCTTAATATCTGGAAGCTGGAGGCGTAGCAATACGGTTACGGCTGCTGAAGATCGACAAGATGATGAAGCTATACCAGTCGACAATGCATCCGCTAACCGTTTTGAACCGAAGAGGCACAGCGCGATGCCATTATAGCACATCAGATAACATTCCACGGGAGTGACAATGGGAGGTGGTAGTCGCAAATGGAAACACATCTTCATTTCGTGAAAAAGAGACGGAGCTAGTTGATGACGTCACAAGGTACCAACTCGACATGGACTCTCGTCAACGAAGCGCCAAGGATTTGGAATCCTGAACCTCTGCGGGTAGAAGCTATTCCATTCAGGTGTCGATACCCCGACAAGCGCTCAGGTCGGTGTGTTCTGGTAGAACCCAACCTGCTTTCCCGTATCAATGAATGGAAGCCTGTCAGCGGAAGGGCGACAGTTCATTACTGCCTGAAATTCCAATGGGCGAAAGTTCTTACCCTATTAAGGATATATGCCTCTAGCTCTCTGGGAAATTATGCGTACTTACTCGAGTAAGTAGAATGTTCTCTATACGAAGTGCCGAATAAGGAATCTAACATATTAATGGGCGAATTGAATGCGCATGTCAACACTGAAAAGTAGGAAGACGTGAATCAAAAGAACGGCCATACTGACCTCAACAATAACGGCATGAAGTTGTGGCGGTTTTGTGCAAACAACGAACTGCCAAATGAACACCTTGAAGCATCGAAGCGTGCATCAGTATACCTAGTATAGGGAAGCTTGTGCGCAGAAGTCGATGATCGATTTGATAATCGCATCATCTTAACTTAAGAGGCCCTGTAATGGATGTTCGCATAAAGAGGCACAAAGATGTCAACCGATCACCACCTTGTTATTGGCACGCCACCCAGTGACAAATGGAGTCCCGTGCGACGAATTAGTAGCAGAAGCAACCCGAGAATCAAATGGGAAACATTATCTTCCGCGGATACGCAGGCGAAACTTGCAAACACATTGCACGACATTCTGAATAGATCCCAGTGATGACCGCTGACGTGGACACTCACCGGAAAAAATTGTAAAAGTGGCCTACTAGGGGCTGTCACCGAATGATGCGGTTTAAAACGGGTTGAAGTCATAAACTCTCTGCTGAGAATAAATGCTCAATTGGCTGCCAACGAGAAGGGTGGATTCAACCTGTGACTAAGAACTAAACAGCATACAACTCGAAGGCGACACGAAGAAGGGCGCAAGACAAGAGCGAAAGCAGCGGACACGGCGAAAGCCGATTCCTGCGAAAAGTTTCAGTGAGGTTCTGGAGTAGAATTTCCAGAAGGAAAATAAAGACAAACTGTCGCCTCTGAGACAGAAAAAAGGCAGTCTATGAGTCCTGACGCCGCCTTCTTACCGAGGATGATGACATTTTTCGACGACGGAGAGTACTTCGAGGAATTCCCTAATCTCAAGCAACTGCAAAAAGACTTGCCTGAAGAGCAGCAGGGAACGGGTATAAATATATAAACTCCAAACTGGGCGCATAGGCCTGCACCAAGGTCAACACTTTAGACTTTTAGCTTCAGCCGGAGGATTACCTTCCTTCCGCTGACAGGCTTTATAATTCTATCGGCAAGGCTGATTTCTACCAGTATGCCAACACCGGCCTGAGCGCAAGTCGCGATATCGACACCTAAGTAAAATAGCGTCCACCAAGCTGAGGTTCTGGAGTCCAGAGCCTTGGCGCTTCATTGACGAGAGTCCAACAATTTCGAGTTGGTACTCTATGGCCTCATCAACTAACTCTTGCTCCTTCCCTCTGAGTGAAGAAATGTTCCAACTTCCGACTTTAAGCACCCACTGGTGGTATCGTTCTCGTGTACCATTTCTGAGGTGCTATACTGGCATCGCGCTGTCTGTCTTCTCCGTTCAAAACGGGT